TCTTGAATACGGCTTGAATTTAAATAAATAGACTGTCAACATGTAAAAAGGCCGTTTTTTGTGAGAAAGCCTTTGTCATATACCAGGTAATCATACGATTACATGATCTTAGATGTTGAATCAGAAAACAACATCTCTTGAGAGTGTGAAGACAGCATTCGGTTCGTTTCACGTTCATACTTGTTCAATTCGTGTTCGATTGACGTATGTTTCACGTTCAATTGACATACAAATTGAAATATCTATAATTTACACAAAAGTTTATATATAGTATATTACCGGTAGTGTAGGAAAAATAGGGATCAACTATTTCTTTTGGAGAAAATCAGGATTATAAAAATATCCCTACAGTCTCGCTCACATCAGAAGTCATGTGGGCTCAAACAAGTACAAAATAGCCCTAGAAACAGACGAGAAACGCATAAATATGTTTAAAGAAAACTTATATGTTTTGTAAAGAATTATATAGTCACAAATTATCACTACCCAATTCAAAAACAAATAAAACAAGGACGTTGATAATGTTTTTATTTATAATCATTGTCAAGGAACTGTCATGCGCACTATGAAAGTACATATTATAGCCTTGATTTCCACAGAAAATACTAAATTGATTTCTATTGTTCTCGCTCAAAAATATTGTTAAATTAACCGAAATAAGCTATATATCAACAATTAAGTGAATTATAGCTATTTCAGTTGACGTTTCAATTGTACGTGAATTGAACGCGAATCGAACGTGAACCGAACGCTGTCTTCACACTCGTCATCTCTTGAATGTCCTGCAATCAGAACTACTGTAATAGTGTATGGTGCAATGAAGACATTTGACAGATACTAAACTGCTTTTCTGTCCATTCACGATTGTCAGAAAATAAACTTGGTAACTACTTTCTGACATACAATGGTGATTGTTAATGCATTGAATCTTGAAATATTAGTTAATTGAATTAATTGAGGTTACTGCTAGTCATTTGTCAGAGCCTGGGTGAACACCAAAGGCTATTAATTTCTAACTAAATTTTCACATCAATATTGAATATAAGACTGGTAAAATGGGCAGATGCTGTGGGTTGTATTACAGATTGTCAGGCAGGTTTTCGCAAAGGTTATACTACGGTTGATAACATCTTTGT